GAGAGAGAGAGAGAGAGAGAGAGAGAGAGAGAGAGAGAGAGAGAGAGAGAGAGAGAGAGAGAGAGAGAGAAAGAGATGTATGCACAAGTGTGCACACATCCTTTCAAAGTTCGAGTTTAAAACGACTGTCGAATTCAGTCATGCTCAAACTGTGCTAAACAATGGTTGTTCAATCTCACATCTACATTTGACATACTTCTGCTCATATTTATGCTCAAAATTCCTGTCTGATTCAATTTCGATACAGACATGCTCTCAAATTTATGCTCAAGATGATTGTCCGGTACAGACGTGCTCAGACTACGCTGAAACATGATTTTGATCCATCAAAATGATAGTTTGATACAGTTCCGTTGAAATTTGTGGTCAAAATTGATAAATTTCATTAGCATATAGACATACTCAAATATGATGGAGACATACTCAAAACAACATTGATCTATCAAAATGATAGTTTGATGCAGTCCCGACGAAATTTGTGGTCAAAATTGATAAATTTCATTAGCATACAGACATACTCAAATATGATGGAGACATACCCAAAACAACATTCAAAATGACCCTCCAGCACACCCATAGTGCTTCCTCTAAAGTTGTCCAAAGTTTTGTTTTGTTCAGCCCAGATGGAGAGGAGAAGACCATAATGGACGAGGAACGAAAGAGAGAGAGAGAGAGAGAGAGAGAGAGAGAGAGAGAGAGAGAGAGAGAGAGAGAGAGAGAGAGATTAAAAAGAAGAGGGAGGGGGGAGGGAGGGAGACGAAAAGAGAGAGAGAAGAGCGAGGAAGGGTTATGCTATGTGTAAGAGGGAGAAAAAAACTCCCAATCGAGATCATGATGGAGGCTGAGCTCAATAGACCTCAAACGGAGAGTCACATGTGCGAGTGTGCATTTCTACTTGTTTGAAAATCACATATCCAATTCCAATCCGAGTTCACAGCCCTAAGGCTGTGGTATAGTTCGCAGCCCTGAGGGCTGCGGTATAGTTCGCAGCCCTGAGGGCTGCGGTATGGTGCGGCCCAGCGTCTGTGTCATTGTGCCTGAATTTTGGCAGTGGACAACCACTCCAAAATAGGGCATGTAGCATTTCGGTATGACCAGTTCTAACAGGGCTTGCGGACGACCAATAGCCTTAACGAGGCCCTACCGGTAGGTAAGCATTTGAAGGGACCGGTGGGTGGCCGTAGGAGGGCGGGTCCAAACGGCAGCTGCGCCCAGGTCGAAACAGCGTGCGAGTCACACACACACACGCACAGTAGTCGTGGACACGACGTACCAAACGGTACTTCTCTCTCTCTCTCTCTCTCTCTCTCTCTCACACACACACACACACACACACACACACACACACACACACACACACACACACA